TTTCTTTGGGGGACTTCTTTCAACACAAACGGCTCTGCAGGTGGCAAAGGATAAAGCTGATTCTGGTATTGTATTGCCAATCTGATACTCTGGCTTCGACTGAAAATGGGAGAAAACAGACCCAACACCAGCCCCACAAAATTATTTCAAAACAGCAGTACAGTGATTTATTGTAACTACCTSCAACTTTTGTTGAACTTTTGTTGTTGACAAAAAAAATTTAAAAATAACTATGATTCCCAAACTACCTTTTAAGGTAATTCGGAAGAAATTAAATTAGCCATATAATTTTGCTGAAAATCTTACCTTTCATCATCAGCCAAGAGTTGGTTAGGAACATCTTCATTCACATGTTCAATGTCAAAGCCTGCCATCTCATTTTTGTTGTTATCAAGCATTGTATCATCAGGAAGCTGATCACTTCGATCAGGACCATATCCAATGAAGGAGATCTCTTGTTCATTCRACTCTTTTGCCATTGGTATAGGATCTTCAGTGACTGTCATATGTACCATTTTCCCCTCTACGACTGCTACAGGCTCATCAGGTGTTAAAGCACAACTTGGCTCAACAGATAAATGAAAATGTTCCGGAAGTTTGCTTAATGACCCCACCCAGTCATAWACTGCCATCATACTATTACTATCATGGAATCTTCGTCTAATTACTCCTTTTTCATAGTGGCGCACTTGTACTGTAACATGCATCTCTGTGGTTGAAGGCTCTGATGGGATTCTGTTTTGTCTAGCCAGCCTCAGACTTTCAAGTCTCTGATCTCTATCTCTTTCATAAACTTCTTCCCTCTTTTCTGTTTCCTTTTGTTTTTCTTTCTCTTGATCTGCACRAAGCGATTCAAGATATTCTCTATCCTGAACAGATCTTAAAGTGTTGCGCTCTTGTGTAGTGCCTAAGAGTAGACTTGCTGAAGGCAGATCTTTATTATCATCAGAGTCTACAAGTGTTGTATTCTTTTCAGATGCAGGTACTTTTTTTRAAATTAAGTAGAGMCTGAGTCTCGAAAGTTTGTGTGTTTGCAAATATGCACCAAGTGAAAATAGGCCAGTAATAACTTCTTCTTTAAAATTTCCCAAATTAAACATCATGTCACATGAATTTCCAAATACTGATGTGTTATTTGGAAAAAA